AACTATACACGGACACAAGTCTTACATTTTAAAACTATACACGGACACAAGTCTTACATTTTAAAACTATACACGGACACAAGTCTTACATTTTAAAACTATACACGGACACAAGTCTTACATTTTAAAACTATACATGGACACAAGTCTTACATTTTAAAACTATACATGGACACAAGTCTTACATTTTAAAACTATACACGGACACAAGTCTTACATTTTAAAACTATACACGGACACAAGTGTTACATTTTAAACTATACATGGACACAAGTCTTACCTTTTTCTAATATACGTTGCTCAATAATTCCACACCCCAATACTTCTAGCCAATCATTTTTGTGTTTAATTTCTAGTTCCCAAGATGGATGAGTGAATGGGAAATATGTGTCTGTCCACTGGTACTCGAAATCTGAAAGTAAAACAAGAAATATACGTCTGTCCACTGAACTTGAGAGAAAAATGAACATATAAATATCAAAACAAGACAACTATCTAAGTTTTTGTAAATCTTCTTAAATATACAGTCACTTTGTTTCCTTCGTTGATCAATATTTTATAAAAACTTAACTTCAGTATCAAAGTTTTCTCAAGGTACGTTGTTATAAGTTGTTTTAATATACTTTTTTAATTCTATTGTCTGAAAGATTAAATGTGTTTAACTTCTGTTATTGATGCTAGTTATAAGTTGTTGACCATGAATATACAAGCTCTGAAACAACTGAAGAATGATGAATCAGGGTAAATGTTTTTGGCAAGCACTGCTGTTCTTCTGGCGATTGCAATGAACTTAGCTAAGTATTCTGGTATTTTTTTTCGACTTCAAATATGTTTAAAATAGTCCCACAAAACAACCTTCCTTTCCATGACAATAAACAAGACTATATTTACACTTATGGTCGAATTATAACAGATTTCGTAATAAACACCGTCAGAAAAAGGTGTAAGTAAAAAACCCATCATATTTGATCAGTTTGTCTATTCATTTTTCTGTAACAATTTATTGAACTAATACATAACAGCACGTTTATCTTTAATAAAACTATGAACATTTTTATCATTTCTAACAAAATTTAGTGCATATACTTTTAAATCCCATTCTGTGAGATGTACTAACATTATACCAAAAATTGTGTGAGGTCAAAATTAAATCAGACAATTAATGGTTGGAGACGGCTTGAATGGGTAATGAAGAAAAACTTTAATATAAGTTTAACATAACAGCAAATGTACAACGTTTTCGACAAGGTTTTGTCATCATCAGGTAACTTTGTCGAAACGTTGTACATTTGCTGTTATGTTAAACTTATATTAAAGTTTTTCTTCATTACCCATTCAAGCCCTCTCCAGCCATTATTAAACGTACAATAGTTTGGAGAAGGTTTTATCATCATCAGGTTAAAATAGTTTACTAGACACAGGAATATATATACAATACAGAGTAAAGAAGTCTCATGACTGGAGATTGTTGTTTAATAACTATATTTGTAGATCTGTGGTTCTTTGTTTAAATATGTTTTTACTTTTTGATACATATATAATAAAGTTTTACTGAGTTGCAATGTTTGTAAAGATGGATTTTAAATTATATTCCCAAATAAAATTGTCATCATATTTTAAAAACAAACTATAACAATTGTGTGGTGGTATTTAGTCAATATTAGTGATTTATCAATCAAGTAGAAAATGTACATAAAACTTGTACAAATGGTGACCTTCAGTAGAGGTCAATCATATGAAATCAAAGGTCATTCAAAAATCATTAAAAACAAAAAGAAATTTTTAAAAATAAGAACATTAATATTACAAGTTGTAGAGGACATGGTGTACTAATTAATTAATGAGTCTGTCCATTAATCAATTAACAAACACCACTAATATTACAGCACTACTGTGATCTGATATCATTTAAACTGTTTCCTATTATTGCTATAGATTTTCACCTGAAATTGATTCATCTGTTATAATGTGTTTCCATTCAAACTGAAGATCATCAGTTAAAGACTTTGTTTCAAATGAAGACCAGTAGGTGGAGCATCTTTCAACTGTCAAGTACTTCTGAGTAAACTAAATAAAAGAAGAGGTTAGATTAACAGCTTGGTCAAGAGATGAAACCAACAACATGATTATAATTAAATAAATATCCCAACTGCCTACCTAATTATTTGTAACGGTAACATG